GTAATCGTCATGTCTGAAGACGTGGATATACACTTGAAAAGACTTGATGTCGTACTTGGTATGCTTGAAGAAGCCAATTTAAAGATCAAACTGACTAAATGTCAATTTTTCAGGTCAAAAATCAAGTTTCTTGGTCACGTAGTCACTCCTAGAAGGGTTACGACTGACCAAAGTAAAGTAACTGCAATATCAAATTTTCCTTCTCCCAAAGCTGCTGATGCCGTAAGATCCTTTGTGGGCTTAGCAGGTTTTTATAGATCTTTCATTGCCAATTTTTCTTCCATAGCTGCTCCTCTAACTGAGTTGCTTAAGAAAGATGCTCCTTTCGTTTGGACCTTCCGTCAAGAAAGAGCATTCCAAACTCTAAAAGAAAAGCTAATAACTGATCCAATTTTGAAATTCCCAGATGTTTCTAAGCCCTTCTATCTGACTACTGATGCTAGTTCTATTGGCATAGGTGCTGTACTAGCTCAGAAAACTGATGGCAAGTACAACGCAGCTGCATTTGCTAACCGAGTCCTTACGAAGGCTGAACGTTATTATACAGTAACTGAGCAAGAAGCTTTAGCAATAGTATGGTCTTTAAAGCACTTCCGAGACATTATTTATCAGTACCCTGTTCATGTCTTGACAGACCATGCTCCACTGATACCTTTATTCCAGAATAAACAGCCTACTGGAAGGTAAGCTAGATGGACCTTGACTATCCAAGAGTTCAATCCTACCTTTGAACACTTACCTGCAAGTCAAATGTAGTCGCAGATGCTTTATGGCGATATGTTAGTATAGTAACTGTAGACCCTCCATTTACTGCCGAGGACTTGAAGAATGCTCAAAGAACAGATCCCATGTGGTCAGATTCCTGCTCCAGGAAGATCTTATTCTGACTGTGAAGCCACCAGCACCCATCAGTGACTTTGTCATGAACCAAGAATTACTGTATCGAACAGCCGAGTTGAGTACTCCTAGCAGAAGGTTATACCAGTTAGTAATTCCACAGTCACTAGTGAATGTAGCCTTATAGCTAGTTCACGATGTACCAGGTGTTGCGCATCCTGGTATGGATCGTTTCAGTAAAACAAGCCAGATTGAAATACTTTTGGCCTCGTATGGCAACTGATATTTCTGAGTATGTTAAGAAATGTAGTGTCTTCATGGAACATAAAGGTAATGTTAATGGTCCTAATCCAATCCAGGCGTATCCAAGTACGTACTAGCAAACCGTGGGAAAGAGTTCGCTAGATCTGTTAACTAATTTCCAATGTTCCCTCAGGGCAACAAACATCTGTGTGTAGACCATTTCACCAGATATTGTGAGTTAGTTCCTATTGCAGATAAGACTGCTGAGACAGTAGCCAAAGCGTTAAAGAACGCATTGTCTGCAGGCATACCACCTCTAAGTCCCTAGTAACAGATAATGGAGTTGAATTCTGTAATGAGATTCTTGAAAATTTGTATACTTTGTACAAGATCTCTAAATCAACCATTGTTCCTCATCATCCTGCCAGCAATGGGTTAGCAGAACGAACCAATAAGAAAGTACTTGATGTCTTGAGAGCCATTATCAATCTCAACAGTGAAACTTGGGATGAAGTTATACCTGATGTTCAGTGTGCCATAAATTCTGCTTACAGTGTTTCTATAGGTGACACTCCACATTATGCATTGTACAGTGTAGATAAACATTTGCCTTATGAGTTGTTATATTCTATCCCAAAACCAAATTACAACCCTGATGATTTCATAGCAACTCGTACCAGCTTAGCTCAAAGTGTTTTTAGAAGAATCCGTGAAACGCTTCATAAATCAACAGCAGAATTTACAAGAGTCGCTAACACTCGGGCAAAGCTGTCCAAAATTATAGTAGGTTCGAGAGTTATGCTGACTAACAAAATGTCTGCAATGCCTAAGCTTGATCAAAAGTTTGCTAGTCCTTATCGAGTAGTTGAACATATCAATAGCAATAAGTATAAAGTTAGAGAAATTAGTATTGGTCAGCACAAGTAATCACATTTAGATCATATGAAGTTAGTATGTGACGATAATGATGTTCCAACCAAGACTTATGTAACAAACTCTGACAATCTTCCTGACTCTATACCCTCTACCTCTAATACTCAGTCAGACGATGAACCTGAATGTCGTTATTCCCTACATACACGACAGGTATTGAGAAACCCTCACCTATCATTTGTAACTACCAATTCAGAGTTGCCTCAAATACCGCATGAGTTAGCCAGTGCAACAGAGTTTGATTCTCCCAGAGATGACACCCATTCTGCATAAGTCAGTCTCACCCTAGCAGAGTTGGGGTTAAATGTAAATAACCTGTATAGATGAATAATATAGTTTACATTGTATTTCTACTGTCTGCTACTATATCAACTTATTAATATTCAAGAATATTTTTTTTGTGTTCATGTTCTCTCCAAATTCTGAGATTTAACAGTTTAGATTTGAGTGCACCAAGTCTGCCTTTTCTGCTAAACACTTCTTTCTTTGTACATATCCTTCCTCAGAATCCGTAGATCACATGAATACAGATCGATCAATCCATTTTTTTTATTATCACTTCTATTGTGTAATCCCAATGTTGAATCTCATTCTATGAGTTGTGCTTTATCATACCTTATAATGCATTACAGTAAGTTACGTTTGCTTCCATTCCGATATTCTCTTGATGTATGTTATAATGTTCAGTTGTTGTGTACTTTGCCTCTGCTGGTGCCTTCCAGGCACTGAAAGTAAACCGAGAAGCCCGGGATATGTGGCTGTGTTTGAGGTGATGAATTGGTAAGTGTCTCCTGAAGCAGGACGGCATCGACCTCATCCTGTACTGCAGCTTCAATCACTAAGTGAATTTTCCGCTGCAGCCCGCAAATGTTTCACTGGAAGATCTTCAAGGGCTGTAGAGGTGGCCATCTGATTCCATCTCTGCCTGGGACTCGTTGTCATCTGTTGTTAATAACTCCGGGGCCTCCTCCATCATGGACTGGAAGGACTCCTGGTTGATGGCTTGAAGTTCCACTGAGTGCTTCCTGCCTAGTAGGACCACGCCTAGCATCCACGACAGGAACTGTTTGTAGGCCCCCCTGCTCTCTGCCAATGGCAGCAGGCGAGAGAGGAGCAACGAGATGATCCCGATGGTTTTCTTCAGTCGAGTGGGAAATGAGTCTACCGTAACCTCTGTAGGTGTTGGGTCAGATGACTCTTCGAGTCGGGGCTGGGTCACTGGGTATGTTTGGTTGGCTGTCGACACTGCAGCCACAGACACTGGGTGCACCCTGGTACTGGCCTGAGTGGCCGTGGGCTTCTGGGTCTCCTAACAGGGAGCCTCTGCTTGACTCTGGCCGCTCGCAGGAGGGGCCTGCCCTTGGGAAGAGGCCTGCTGGTGGGATGGCACAGAATGATGGTGCCCAGCAAGGGCCTGCTGGGCAGTGTTCCTGGCTTGTGTCTGCTTTCCCCAGTGATTCTGTCTTGGCCACCTTACCGTCAGGCCCCACTGTTGGCCGGGCTGCTGCAAGCCAGTGACTGCCCCCTGATGCCACTGCTGGGTTCCCAGTGCCGGGAACTCGCTGATATTGCCCACCTGCGGCATCCGGGGTGCTGCGGTCGGATCCCAATACTGACTGTTGCTGAGTGATTCCAAGGTTGGACGTTGCCGGGGGTGCCAGGCCGTTCTGGTGACGCACCTGCTGCCAGTGCTGCACCATCACATGACAGCTCTGGTTCCAGGCATGGTGCCTCTTTGAGCAGCAATGCAGTCCTTCGAGTCATGTGCCTTACTGCACACTCTACACTTCTTCCCTCACTTGCAGGTGGCTGCAGTATGATTGAATCCCTGACAATTGAAGCACTGCAGTGGGCCCGACATGTACGGCCAGGTCTTGAACCTTCCCCAGACCCTCAATAGTTTCCCGACTCATACAAATAAATAGAATTATCTTGAATGCAATGTTAAACTCAGTTTTTGACTGTGGGTTTCCCAGCGTAAGGCGTGTGCGGTGAAAGGTACCTAAGTGTAGGACGGGAAAGCTAATGACCCTTTTTCTGTACTGTTTTTTTAGGATTTTTTTTAGGATTTTCAGTGCAGAAAAAATAAATGGGATTAGGTCAGGTATATTTAAGAGAACTAGAGCTAAGGAAGGAATAGCGGGAATGTTAAATGATCAGTTATAGAAGGAAAAGAATGAATACAAATGTAAATATTCAAGGATTATGTGGTTTAAAGTAAGGGTAGGATGCAAAAAGTGGTTTATGCACCTCGGGAAAGGAAATGTAGAGCAGAGGGAAAGAGAGAGAGAAACAGACAGAGACTGAGAGACAGAAACAGACAGAGAGACAGAGAGAGAGAGAGAAAGAGAAAGACAGAGAGAGAGAGGTTTTAGGAGATAGTAAGCGAGTGTTTAGGGAGTTTTGAACCAAGTGAGAAGGTAATATTTGTGGGTTATCTAAATGCTAAAGTATACTGCCTTCCCAGTTTAACCTCCATCTCTCTTGCTTCAAGTGGCCGGGGGTTCCGTTTATGCAGAATACATAGATCTTGTGAAGACTATGATTACTTTTCTGTATATATAATAAATAAGTGTATACTATATACTCAGCAACACCAGCACGGAATGTGTTTCATGACTGCAATATGTATGAGCAAGTGAGTTAATATAAAACAGCAAGTAATAACGAGAACAACATCAAACACATTAATAATAATAATAATAATAATAATAATAATAATAATAATAATAATAATAATAATAATAATAATAATAATAAAGTTTATGAGAACTCTTAGAGACATATGATAGTAAAAGTAGTTTTTGTTATTACAAAAAAGTTTACATATTTTAAACCAGAATAAGTAACAGTTTTATCACATTTATATTTTGTTTTATTCAGAAAACATAGAAACGTTTGCATTTAATACCTTGATCACTCATGTTAATCGTCACACCCCTTTCTAAATCTGCACTTTTAAGAAGTACGCAATTTTTTTGTGGCAGGCGTTGCCGCTACCATGGAAGGCGGTGTTTACATCCCTGCCAGTATGGGCCATAATCGTGGTCCACTTTGGTAACAACTGGGGCTTCTACACTCTTCTCACTGAGCTTCCTACCTACCTAGACAAAATCCAACACTTCAACTTGAAGAGCGTAAGTAGCTCCTATATGTCCAAATAGCTATATAATTGTCTATAATCTTTTAAACAAACATTTAGGTATTTGTATTGCGAAATTTATTTTCTCCTTAATTAACTGACCTTCATTTATAACTTTATTTTCCGTTTGTAGTTCATACACATGCCCAGAGCAAGTGTTTTAAACTGTCTTGCTGTTTTTTGGGGGTTGGTCTTGAACTTGCCTGGTAGCATAGGGTTCACAACGGGCAGTTTGAGGGGTGCCAAAAGCAGTCGGTGGATGGGGAGCTGTTGGTTGTAGGCCGCTGGTCAAGGAATGAGACCTTTGCACTATGGTTTCGCACTGAGCTAGGTAGGCATATAGATGGAAGCATAAGCATGGCACAAAATAAGAACTTAACATGGCATACATGGCAAGCTGGAAGTACAAGGCCTTCGCCAAAAAAAACTCCTTTACCCCCTCCCTCCAACATTTCGAGGATGACTCCTACCCCACCTTTCTTCCCCAACAGATTTATATGCTCTCCAAGCCATTCTACTTTGATCCATTTTCTTAAATGACCAAACTATCTCAACAACCCCTCTTCAGCCCTCTGACTAATACGTTTAATAACTCCATACCCCGTCCTAATTTTCACACCCCGAATTCTCCACATAATATTTACACCACACATTACTCTAAGACAGGACATCTCCACTGCCTCCAGCCGCCTCCTCGCTACAGCATTTGTAACCCAAGCTTTACACCCATACAAGAGTGTTGGTACCAGTATACTTTCATACATTCCCTTCTTTGCCTCTATGGATATCACTATTTGTCTCCACAGATACGTCAATGCATCACTCACCTTTTTTTCCTTCATCATTTCTATGGTTAACCTCATCTTTCATAAACCCATCCGCTGGCAAGTCAATTCTGAAATATCTGAAAACATTCACTTCTTCCATACTCCTCTCCAATATAATATCCAATTTTTCTTCATCTATATAATTTGATACCCTCATCATATTACTCTTATCTTTGTTCACTTTCAACTTTCTGCCTTTGCACACCCTCCCGAACTCATCCACTAACCTTTGCAACTTTTCTTTAGAATCTTCTATAAGCACAGTATCATCAGCAAAAGATAGCTCTGTCAACTCCCGTTTTTTATTTGATTCCCCATAATTTAATCCCACCCCTCTCCCCAAGACCCTTGCATTTACTTCTTTTACAACCCAATCTGTAAATATATTAAACAACCATGGTGACATTACACATCCCTGTCTAAGACCTAACTTAACGGGAAGTAAACGCCATCTCTACTACACACAATAACCTGAGCCTCACTATCCTCTTAAAATCTCTTAACAGCATTTAGTAACTTACCACCTATTCCATATACTTGCAACATCTGCCACATTGCTCCTCTATCCACTCTATCATATGCCTTTTCTATATCCATAAATGCAATGAAAACTTCCCTACCTTTATCTAAATACTGTTCACATATATGCTTCAATGTAAACACTTGATCTACACATCCCCTATCCACTCTAAAATCTCCTTACTGATCCGCAATCCTACATTCTGTCTTACCTCTAATTCTTTCAATAATAACCTTACCGTACACTTTTCCTGGTATACTCGGTAAACGTATTTTCCTATAATTTTTACAATCTCTTTTGTCCCTCTTCCCTATATATAAAGGAACTATACATGCTCTCTGCCAATCCCTAGATACCTTCCCCTCTTTCATACTTTTATTAAACAAAAATACCAACTACTCTAACACTATAACCCCTCCCCCCTGCTTTTAACATTTCTGTCATGATCCCGTCAGTTCCAGGTACTTTACCCCCTTTCATTCTTTGTAATGCCTCACCCACCTCCCCTACGCTCACATCCTGCTCTTTTTCACTCCTAAAAGATATTATACCTCCCTGGCCAGCGCATAAAATTACCGCTTCCATTTCTTCATCGATATTTAAAAGTTCCTCAAAATATTCTCGCCATCTACCCAATACCTCCAGCTCCCCATCTACTAACTCACCTACTCTGCTTTTAACTGACAAATCCATTTGTTCCCTAGGTTTTCTTAACTTGTTTAACTCCAAAAATTTTTTTCTTATTTTCATTAAAATTTCTTGACAGTGCCTCTCCTACTCTATCATCTGCTCTCCTTTTGCACTCTCTCACCACTCTTAACAATTCGCAAACAGGCAAAATTATTTACAAACATTGTCTCTACGTCCACAGCAGGACTCGAACTTACAAACTCTGTATCAGAGAACACAGTACTTTACCACGGAGCCAGACCCCAGATAAGTATGGGCAGCTAGCTGGAGCTAGACACTGTTTCTCCATACCCTGGGGCACCAGGCGTGTTTTCAAAGCTATTTCATCAAATCCTGCCGCATACAATGGACAACGAAAAAGATATGAAATGTTTAACAATTCTCAAACAAGCAAAAAACACTTACATTGTCTCTACGTCCACAGGAAGACTCGAACATGTAAACCCTGTATCAGAGAACTCAGTATGTTACCACGGAGCCAGACACCAGTTCGCCTGCTTGCAAATTGTTAAGCATTTCAAATCTCTTTCGTTGTCCACTGCACATTGATGGATTTGATTAAATAACTCTGATTCATCGTCCAGCTGCGGCAAGGAGCCCACACATATCTGGGGTCTGGCTCCATGGTAAAGTACTGTGTACTTTACCATATATATATATATATATATATATATATATATATATATATATATATATATATATATATATATATATATATATATATATATATATATATATATATATATATATATATATATATATTTATTATTATTTTTTTATTAACACATTGGCCGATTCCTACCAAGGCATGGTGGCCCGAAAAAAGAAAAACTTTCACTATCATTCACTCCATCACTGTCTTGCCAGAAGGGTGCTTTACACTACAGTTTTTAAACTGCAACATTAACACCCCTCCTTCAGAGTGCAGGCACTGTACTTCCCATCTCCAGGACTCAAGTCCAACCTGCCGGTTTCCCTGAATCCATTCATAAATATTATGTTGCTCACACTCCAACAGCACGTCAAGTATTAAAAACCATTTGTCTCCATTCACTCCTATCAAACACGCTCACGCATGCTTGCTGGAAGTCCAAGCCCCTCGCACACAAAACCTCCTTTACTCCCTTCCTCCAACCTTTCCTAGGCCGACCCCTACCCTGCCTTCCTTCCACTACAGACTGATACACTCTTGAAGTCATTCTGTTTCGCTCCATTCTCCGAACCACCTCAAAAACCCTTCTTCAGCCCTCTGACAACAGTTTTGGTAATCCTGCACCTCCTCCTAACTTCCAAACTACGAATTCTCTGCATTATATTCGCACCACACATTGCACTCGGACATGACATCTCCACTGCCTCCAGCCTTCTCCTCACTGCAACATTCATCACCCATGCTTCACACCCATATAAGAGCGTTGGTAAAACTATACTCTCATACATTCCCCTCTTTGCCTCCAAGGACAAAGTTCTTTGTCTCCACAGACTCCTAAGTGCACCGCTCACCCTTTTCCCCTCATCAATTCTATGATTCACCTCATCTTTCATAGACCCATCCGCTGACACATCCACTCCAAAATATCTGAATACATTAACCTCCTCCATACTCTCTCCCTCTAATCTGATATCCAATCTTTCATCACCTAATATTTTTGTTATCCTCATAACCTTACTCTTTCCTGTATTCACTTTTAATTTTCTTCTTTTGCATACCCTACCAAATTCATCCACCAACCTCTGCAACTTCTCTTCAGAATCTCCCAAGAACACAGTGCCATCAGCAAAGAGCAACTGTGACAACTCCCACTTTATGTGTGATTATCTTTTAACTCCACGCCTCTTGCCAAGACTCTCGCATTTACTTCTCTTACAACCCCATCTATAAATATATTAAACAACCACGGTGACATCACACATCCTTGTCTAAGACCTACTTTTACTGGGAAATAATCTCCCTCTTTCTTACATACTCTAACTTGAGCCTCACTATCCTCGTAAAAACTCTTCACTGCTTTCAGTAGCCTACCTCCTACACCATACACTTGCAACATCTGCCACGTTGCCCCCTATCCACCCTGTCATACTCCTTTTCCAAATCCATAAATGCCACAAAAACCTCTTTAGCCTTATCTAAATACTGTTCACTTAAATGTTTCACTGTAAACACCTGGTCCACACACCCCCTACCTTTCCTAAAGCCTCCTTGTTCATCTGCTATCCTATTCTCCGTCTTACTCTTAATTCTTTCAATAATAACTCTTCCATACACTTTACCAGGTATACTCAACAGACTTATCCCCCTATAATTTTTGCACTCTCTTTTGTTTCCTTTGCCTTTATACAAAGGAACTATGCATGCTCTCTGCCAATCCCTAGGTACCTTACCTTCTTCCATACATTTATTAAATAATTGCACCAACAACTCCAAAACTATATCCCCACCTGTTTTTAACATTTCTATCTTTATCCCATCAATCCCGGCTGCCTTACCCTCTTTCATTTTACCTTCTGCCTCACGAACTTCCCCCACACTCAAAACTGCTCTTCCTCACTCCTACAAGATGTTATTCCTCCTTGCCCTATACACGAAATCACAGCTTCCCTATCTTCATCAACATTTAACAATTCCTCAAAATATTCCCTCCATCTTCCCAATACCTTAACTCTCCATTTAATAACTCTCGTCTCCTATTTTTAACTGAAATCCATTTGTTCATAGGCTTCCTTAACTGTTAACTCACTCCAAACTTTTTCTTATTTTCAACAAAATTGTTGATAACATCTCACCACTCTCCATTTGCTCTCTTTTTACATTGCTTCACCATCTCTTAAACCTCTCTTTTCTCTCATATACCTTCCCTCCTTGCATCACTCTACTTTGAAAAACTCTCAATGCTAACTTTTTCTCCCTTACTATTCTCTTTACGTCATTATTCCACCAATCGCTCCTTTCCCTCCGAC